AGACAGACATTGAGGTGCTGGAGCGAGTCTGGAGGAGGGCAACGAAGCTGGTGAAGGGTCTAGAGGGTGAGTCTTATGGGGAGGGGCTGAGGGAGCTGGGGTTGTTTAGCTTGGAGAAAAGGAGGCTGAGGGGAGACCTTATTGTTCTCCACAACTACCTGAAAGGAGGCTGCAGCGAGGTGGGGCTCAGTCTCTTCTCCCAGGCAATTAGTGACAGGACAAGAGGGCATAGTCTCAAACTGTGCCAGGGGAAGTTCAGGATAGATATTGGGGAGGCATTTCTTCACAGAAGGGGTCGTTAGGCATTGGAATGGGCTGCCCAGGGAGGTGGTGGAGTCACCATCCCTGGAGGTGTTTAAGAAAAGACTGGACATGGCACTTAGTGCCATGGTCTAGCTGACATGGTGGTGTTGGGGCAAGGGTTGGACTCGATGATCCCAGAGATCTCTTCCAACCAAACAAATTCTGTGATTCTGTTGTTATTAGCTATTTAAAAAATAGTTATTAAAAAAAACATTCTTTCCAGGTCCCTCTTTTGCTATGCCTTATCGGGTACTACAGAAGAGAAAACTCATAGTCTACACCACAGATTATGCACAAGGTAATTCTGCAGAACACACATGGATACTACTGCTGCATACAGCCCTGAATGGATAAACTGGTCATTTCCCTGTAAACAGCAGTCCTTAGCAATCAAACTAGCTAAATTATGGATCTTTTGAACATGATTTAAACTTCTTTTCTACTCAATTTTCATTTCCCACTTTTCTATTTCCCTCGTTTGAACACACCTAGCTTTTTAAAAGATGCTGTGTTAATACTAATAGCCTCTTTTATTCTGCTATCTCATCACGCCAGCTTCTCCCCACTCTTTTTTGGCTTTTCTAAAATCTTTGATAAGCAGCATACATTTGCTGAGTTTCAGTGTGGCATTTTTAAACATCATCCACAAAGTCTGCAAACATTCTTCCTTTCTGACTGCTCATCATAGCTTCTTTTTAATAGGTTCCTTCCCACTCCCGCCTCCCACCCTTTTTTAAACTCAAATGTTAAAGTAGTGGATTTCTAGGTTTTGTTGCATATACAAAGATGCCAAATGTCTATACAAATACATATACTACAGAGCAGGTTATTGAAAGTAATACTTTAAAAAGGTCCTCCATACTGCTCAGTACAGGATCAAGACTTGTGCTGCCTTCAAGATTATGTCTGCTCCTTGAAGAAATAATTTCTGGCTGGTAAAACTGTAATTTTACCATCATGCCCTAAAATGATGTCCCCTGCTCCCTCCCGGTCTCGTCCACACACACACTTCTGAAGGCTACTAGGTACCTCATCCCATCCCAATCAACTTTATTTCTAGACCTTAACATATTTCTGATTTCAATCAGTACGTCATAATCCCTACTATCATCCCGACTGTGAGGCAGACAGTACAGCCCTCAAATTCTATCTTTCCTGGTGAGGAAAGCCTGACTCACAGGGATTCTATGTTGCTTACCAATAACAGTTAGCTTGTGTATGTTTTAACTCTAAGCTTAGTTTTATATATAGCATCACTCCTCTGCTGATATTACTAGCTCTCTTTACTATATAAAATATGCCTCACAGTTAAAGCAGCTACTGATTATCTTTCTTTCAGCAACTTTCATAGCTGTATTACATTGTATCTTAATTTGAAAAAAAAAAAAAATCAAAAAAATCAAGCTTTTCAACTTTACCTGCCTTATTTCATAGATTAAAAATTTGTTACTTCTTGTTTTATCTTTGTTTCTGTATTTGCTTGTGAAAAAGTCCTAAAATAATACACCACTACTTTAGCAAAAACAATTTCTATAAAATTACAGTGATCACAAATGTACACAAAGGTGTAACATAACAGGGTTTTCACAATTCAGAAAACTCTGGAAAGCAGTATTCAAATTTTCAATCATTTTCAGCCCCCCAAATCAAAGAATTACAGTCAAATCAAGCGGTAAACACTGAATATAAAAAGAGGAATGAGCACCTGTGCAGTTTCATTTCATTTTCTTGATAAAGCTCAGTCATTACTTTAAGTTTCTGCTGAAGCTTTTGAACTTCACTTTCAAAACGTTCATTTTCAGATTGCAAGGAAGCTTGTTGACTTTGAAGATTTTCTATACGTTCTGTCAAATATAGAGATAATTATATTAGGACAATGCACAATTTACAAAATTAAAATATTTACAGTATTCTATTATACAAAAAGTCCATAAAAACCTTTGATCCTATATTGATTTAATAATATAAGCAATGATATGTTAATATATTTCAACAAATTACACAAATTGAGAAGCAGTATCGCTCCTTTTGATGGGAAACCAGCAACTGTACTCTCTACCTGCCACGAAGTGCAGCTCTGAGCGTATATCTAGCATTTGCTCCAAATTGTATAGCTTCTTTAAAAACAATGCAGTTTTGTAATTCACAATATAAATTTTCATTTAGGACTCATATTATTGTAATTGTTCTACTAAAGGAGTAAAATTGGTACCCTCATGCATTCTTGAAGATTTACCCACATGAGGTCTTGCTGAGCAGCCTGAAGGCCTAACTCACATTTGTCAAACTACCTTATCTTTCCAAATTAAAATCAGTCATGTTTCTTTTCCTATTTACTATTCCTATGCCTCTCTTCAAGAAACACAGAAAGTTTCAACTAAGTTTGAATATCTTCATGGGACAGAGTTACAATCAATTTGGAAAACACACTAGCACAAAGAGTTGGTTTAAAGGACTATAAAAACAGAAAAATACAGTTTTACAGAGCATTTCATCACCCAAATAACAAAGCACAGTACATTCAAATGTGATGGCTACTCTACTGGCTGTTATCTATGAAAGCAATAGTTAATTACAGTCTTTAATTTGAATTAAAGTAGCAGTGTTTTCATTTCATAAGGTTTAATTCAGTATGTCCTACACAACTAAGGAAAAAAACAGAGCAAGCAGCTTTTAGGTTCTATTCTCTAAATGCAGTACTTTGGATTTGAGCTTGCACTCATTACAAAGTAATTACAATTAAGCTACTATTTTTAATCAATCTTTTTAAAAATTAGATTAAAGCTCCATTGTTTCATGTCCAGAAATTATGTAAAGAAGCTATTATATATTTATTAACATCATTTTGCCAATGTATTTTAAGGTTGTATAAGTTAACAGTTACAGAATATTCCAACAGAGTACAACAAAATCTGCAAATGATGCTTTAGCTTTACCTCTAAAATTAAATATTTAAAATAGCTAAGCAACTTAAACTCAAATAGGCATTTTAAAAATCAAGTAGAGCTATTAATGTAAACTCAATTCAGTTTTTACTGGAAGTAATACTTACTGCCTGTAGCACCATTTTACAAAAGCTGCATCTTATTAAAGACAAAACAACATTTAATTACCTGTAAGTTCTCCTTTAGCTTTATTTTCATCAGACAGTTTTGAATACATTTGATCTCTTTCTGTTTCCAGGGTCTTTAAACAAGCATTTAACTACAATCAAAATTTAAAAAAAAATAGCATTTTAAGATTACCAGAAACTATTTGCATGCAAAAATACCTAATTAAACATTAAAAAGTGCTGAACTCTGTGATATTGATATCTATGTGCAATTAAACTTACCATAACAATTGCACATATTCCCTCTCATTTCCCCCCTTCCATCCACAAGTTTCTTAAAATCACATACCTTTGCAGCATAGATCAATTTCTTTATAGTTCGTTTTTGCTGATCATCTGATTGACAGAATAAAATAATACGTCACACAAAAAGCACAAAAATGTTTGTGACAGAGCTTACTACTATCGTATTTTGTTTTTATAAAAAAGCAATCCTCAACGTACCATGATAGGCATAGCATTATTTGGAGTAAAAAAAAGGGGGGGAGGGGGAAGAGCTGAGGGGGCGGGGAAGGGTATATGTCCATATTCTGGTGCTTTGTTTGCCAATCAATCACATTCAGAATGCTGATGTTAAAAGTGAGATGCTGAATACACACTAAGATTTACTGAGATGTGCCCTACGGTATAATCAGCACCAGCATAATAAGAAGCTGCAGCAAGAAAAAGGAGGAAGAAAGGCTCTTCTGTGCTGCTGTTTTGAGGGGACCCACATCTACACCCATCTGATTCCAGTGCTACCATACTGCCTGCAACAAGTAATGCTTGCATAAGGACAAGGAAGCAGAAATTAAGCTCTAAGGACCCACAGTGCTACTGCTGAGCAGAGCTTCAAGAAGAAATGAAAGCAAGGTTTCCACCCAAAAATGCTGGAGAATCACTGCTTAATACTAGCATAGGCTACAGTCATTCTGCAAGAGACTGAGCACTGAGTCTTTGCATTGCTCTATGATAACATGTATGCTTTAGCTACATCCACACACTGCTAAATAGCAGCATAGGCTGTTATTCCAGAGGTGTCCAAGCATCAATTAACTACCTGACAGGAATAACACTGGTGAGTTTTGAAAATCCAACTTCTACAAAGTTAATCTTTCAACTTTCCTGGAATTTTGTTGGTTCTGTATTTCTAAAACATCTATTAAATTAATATTTAAGATGGAAGCTATATAAACCATACCTAAGTGGTCTCCATTCTCTGTTTCACCTTTTATATCTGTGTCCCACTGATTATCTTCAGAGTCATCATCTTCTCTTATGGCTGAACTCCAGTCTTTCATCTTCAGTAAGTATTGTGTCAGTGACTAAGAAAAAGCCCACACAAAACACAAACAGTAAAATAAATACAAGCAATGAAAACATAGTTACCATTACAATTACTTTTTCAGGATTTCTGTCCTTCATTTAGTTCCCTTAGTAGATTAAGTGAGGCCCATATGTAGGATTCAAGATGTCTGATATTACTTTTTCTATTAAAACATATACCTGCAGGTCAACAAGGGTGCCCTTCTGAAGACCTTTCAAGATAGCCAAGCATGCATGCTTTCAGCATGGCTTGTGTATATAAGGCTTATATTTATCTATCTGTCTATATCTATATGGTACACACATGTAAGAATACAATCCTAACTATCATGCTCCAAATTAAAAAAAACGCAAATACTCTATCTGAACTGAAAGAGGTTTTTCCTTATTTAACATGCTGACTTCCACAGCTATCAGACTGCTCCATTGTGCCGTGATGCAACCTTTTTCGCTTAGCAGGAAATGAGACATTAGAGGATGGAGACAGCAAACAAAAACCAAAACAGCTTAATGCATATTAAGACAAGGAGAGGTTGTTAGACTTTCTTGGAACTCAATGATTAGCATCAGCCTGTTTGATTCAGTTCTAGTTGTCATAATTTACCTTTACTTGACTCTCCTTATTTTTCAATACTTCTTCTATATCTGCTTTAGATGATTCAAACATCTTAGTTTGTTCATTTAGTTCATTAAATCGTTCACCCCATCCTTCAGCTTCTTGTAAAAGCTAAAAAGGGAAATACCAGGTTAGCACGATTGTCTGTTACAACCAAGAATCAAGGATGAATAGTACTTGAGCCTGTTATACATATTATCTATACATAAGCAGAATTTTAACCTCTCACCCATCAGTAAGAATTAACAGAGATGGACTACAAGACAGTTAAATCTCGAGAGTTGAAAAATAAGACTTCTATGTTATTGTCCAGTTGCTTTAGCTGCAATAGGTCTCCACTGTAATTAGTAGTTATGATATTTTTTAAACATTTATAACGAACAGTTCATTTAATATTCTGCTCAGTTTAAAAACCCTGATGTGACAATAGCAATGGATATAAAATAGTGACAATTTGCATAACAGCTACAAACACTGGGGAACAGACAGAGAGGAGAACAGTCATTCCCCAATATACACACACAATTCCGAAATTGTACCTGTGTCTTTTCAATCTAGAAGAGGTCAGTGAGGTAAGGGAAACCAGGAAGCTTTTTAGACAGCTATTTAAATTCACGTGATTTGCAAAACTATATTATTTCTCCTATTTTCCTCCATACCTCTTCCAAGTAATTTTTAAATTTTATTCTAAAAAATCTTCCCTGTTAATGAAAGTCACAGCAACCGTATGTAATCAACACCTACTAGTATCTATATTTGTATTAACTGCAGTTAACTAAAAAAGACAGGTAGATTCCAAGGTTACATTTTACAGACATCCCCTAGTAAAATCTCATTTCACAAAAATGCTTTACAGCAGTAAAGGGACTAGTACACTTAAGCACCAGTTCATTAAAAATAACCACTGCAACATATGAACTAATTAAACCTTGTCTTCATATTGTGAGAATGAAGTTGAACTGATGCAAATTTTTGTTAAGACAAAACATGCAGTGCAAAAACATGTGGTACAGTACAAAAAAAATTTGTCTTAGAATCTGTCAAAAGAATATTCCTTAAAGTTGCACAACAGGCAACCAATTTTAAAGCAGTGAATGTACAGAAAGGAATAACTAGGTTGAGCAACAAGAACATAACAGCCAGTTATACTAAAAATAAAACCAGAAAATGGTAGTTAAACAGGGGAACTGCCATGCAAATAGACAAGCAAGCCTGAACACTACTTATCAGAGATAAGCTAGAAGGCATAAAACAAAAGGTATGTGACTAGAATTGGATGAACCCCACTTGGCACACAACTGCAACTTTCAAGCAGTAAAAGCCACGTATGAATTCGCAGCATCATGCAAACTACATATTACAGATAAAACAAAAATACTCTTTATGCTAATACTGCTCAGAAGATATACACAGGCAACTACTTTTATCATTAATTGTCATCCTCAAAGGGAAGCTAAACTTTAAGAGATTCCTTCTTCATGAAGCCAAAGAGAAAATGAATTGCCATGACTTTATATACCTGTAAGAATTACAATAAAGAGAAGTAGCAAGGATTTGCAATAAGCTAAAGCAAGATACATTTCTAATGTTCCTGCAAACAACAAAGCACAGAAAGTTTGGAGTTCATTAACAGTTCCCTTGTTCAAACTAAAAGGCCCAATCCTCTCTCTGACACATCATAAATCTGAGACAGCACATCTGTTACAATGTTTAAGCTATGATGTGCCAGAAGATTATGACCCATTAGTGCAAATGGACAGAGGAGGAAAGTACTCTAGTTTCTGTGAACAAATAACACCTTTGTTACCTTTTGAGCATAAGTGAAATTCCATCTTTAAAAAAAAAGTAAGAAAGAAAAATAAAAAAGGGATATGGATATTCTAATATAGCAAACAAACTCACAGGCTTACAAGAACCTCATAAAAGAGAATACAAATAAGCAAAGCAGATACTTTCTCTTCTTTCCTTATCAGGTTCCACAAACTCTTATCAGGTCACCCATCTACCAAAAAGCAAAGCATAATACAATATACACAAATGTTCTCAACTTACTAAAAACTGCAACAAAGATCAGTTAACAACAAAGCGTAGTAAATTCATCCTAAACAACGTGGTTAAGGAACTACTATACCCAGGTTATAGTATAGTATAGATAACTGGAAGGAATGCAAAGAACCTTATTTTTTATCTACGAATCTGGCATGTTAATTACATCCTGGGAGTTGTTTTTACTGATTTTTTTTCCTGATTTTGCTTGATATAAAATGATTGCCTAAAAAATGTAGAGTAATTGTCAGCACTTAGTACTCTAAGTACTATTTTTCAATAAAAGGACAGAAAAACAAGATTCTTTTCACACACACAATTGGATTATTTCTGTTTGAAACCAAGAAAGTACCAGAGAAAAAAACAAAATAATTCCTCTCTATTAAAACTTTGTGTACTGCTCCTCAAAATTTATTATGAAAGTATACTGTAACATTTGAAATAAAGCACCAAGATCAGACCCTTCCTCCTCACCGAAACAAACAAAAAGGATGTACAGATTAGATAAAAGAGACTCTTGAAAAAAAATTCTCAAGCAACTTCATCTCACATCGATAACATCCACTACTACTGTTTCTCCACTCACAGCATCTAATAAAATTGTCTTTTTTTTTTTGTAGTCAAACATGTACTCCTTCTAAAATTATCAGTAAAACTTCATGTTTTTCTTTAACAGAGTTGTGCAGAACTGAAATATTCCTCCTGCAGAAAATTTTCTACTTCCAGTAATCTTTTTTTTTTCTGAATCAATAAGTCTGATATGCACAATGTTTTGATAGAGAGGACTAAAGCACTCCCCAGCTTTTTACAAGACTGCTAAAAACCAACAGGCCTGTACTTTTACTCCCCCACCGCAAGAGATCTATCAGGTTACTCTTCAGACAACAAGGAGATCACCAGTCAGACAGGAAAATAAAGTACATATCCATTTAAAAAAAAAAAAAAAAAAAAGAAAAATCAAAAAGCCCACAAAAACCAACAACAACCCACCCTCACCCCCCAAACCCCAAACCATTCCATGGAACATACAATGTTCAGAGACAGCATCTTTTTGGGAGAAAAAAAAATTTGTAGAATTCTACTATTTCGTTATAGAACTAGTTATTGCACAGGACAACTCTTGCTGAACATTTTAAAATAATCACCATTCTTTGGGATCTGGCTACGGCAGTGAGGAAAATAAACAGCAAAAATTTCAGAAGTAACAGTCTTTTCTGTCCCTTCATACCACTTACCTGACTTTCCATTAATTCATCCATATCAGTACTGCATTAAGCTTTTTTTCCTGCCTTTTGCATATTCTGCAGTTTCTTCACTTTTGTTTTGTGGATCAAGTATAAGCATTTTCCCTCTGCCTCTGTAGAGGATCCTAGCTGTGGACTTGCTCAAATCTTTCTGCTTTCCTCCAGGTCTCAGCAAAATTCTTACAGTCTTACATTACCATATGTTCTCTATGTGTGTTTCTGCACAAACTCCGATTATTAATTTTATTTTAAAACAAGACTATTTTAGAGAAAGTTATTCCAACATAAAATAATTTTAAAGCCATGTCCTCTTTCTCATTTCATTTACTAGAATACACAAGGTGTATTAACAAACATGTTGAGGATGAGCTCCTTGGGGAAATCGTATTTACACAGTATCATAAAAAATAGTATTTCTAAGGATAGCTAGGAAGAACCTACCTGTTTCTCACTTTCCTGGAAATGGCAGTTTTCATCTACTGCATCTTGAAGGGATGTCTTGAGTCTCTCCGTATTAATCTGATATACTTTTAGTGTGGACTTGGCCTAAGTAAAATAAAAAAGTGTGGTGTTTAAACAGTGCAGGTGAAGACATAAGTGGGGTCACAATGGTATTATTGCACTTATTCTTAGGTTTTCTAGCAGTGCTATATACGTATTCTCACATTTTTCCTACAGTTTCAACAGTTTTTGCTGATTGTAGCTTTGCAACACTATATATCATTGTGGAGCAAGAAGGCAAAGAAAAGACAATGTAACTGTACTTCCCAATAAATGCCAATCACTATAAGAAATTCAAAGTTGCTAAATCAAGTCACACAAAAGTACCAAGCCTTATAAAGTCTTTCGGTTTACACAGCTTATTATTTCTGCATCCTTAATAGAAAAAAAATTAAAATGGTAACTACATGGAGAACGAAGAAACTGCAAAGATTTGAAAACAGAAACTATAAAGACTGGACATACCTCATCAATTTGTGACTGGAGAGATTTTGCTTCATCCTCTAACAACTCCACTCTCTTCTGAATTTCAGCCACCTGAAAATAATTAGATGTCATATAGCTTCTTCCACAGATTTGACTGAAAAGGTCTGGGCAATTAATAAAGTTATTTTAATTTTCAAACTGTGAAGGTTCTACTGCCAAATCAGTAAAAACACCTTTTCCTCTTTTGAGTATTTTCCTTTATGGGTGACATTTTTCTAATATGCTACAGGGAGTATGAGGGGAGACAAAATGGGAAATGTAGTTTTTGTTTCAAAAAACCCAAAGAGAATAGTTTGTCTTCTCTGTAGAGATTTTTTGGGGGGGGAATTTTCTTTTTTAAATGACTAGTAACAAAGTCAGGATTTTATTTATTCTTACCAAGTTATCATTTTCTGATTGCTTAGATTTTTCTTCTTCCAGTTCTTTTTCTAGATTCTCTATTTCTTGATTGAGTTCCAAGTTTGACTTGTTCAGTTTTTCATGCATTTCCTAAATCAAGTTGTTTTGACAGTTAACACAAAACATTTGACATTAACTACATATGAAGACAAGTAGGGTTTAAATATGACAGCAAAGTACGTTTAACAAATTTCACCATGTCAAGGATAAACCTTAAAGTAGTCTAGAGACTCTTGCATGTTAAAAAAACCTGTAACAATTAGCTCTATAGGATCTGAGGTGCAGAATGAATAAATCTACTTGCTTTTTTGTTACATACATTTTATAAAGCCCATTAGGTATTTGATTCACTCTTTCAGAACAGTTTTACAAATATATTCTCAGTTTGGGGGATATAAACAGTGTAGCGGAAGTTTTTGTTTACAACTCTGCTCCAGTAGCCTATAAAATAATATTTGAACCAAATCAGATGTGAGAAAAAATACCTCATGCACTCCTCAATCTCTCCTAAAAACAGGAACAATTTACTTTTTAAAAAATTAAATATTGTCTAATATGCCATTTGCTCTACTATCAATCATTTTTAATGCAACTGTTACAAAAACTTCTCTTAATTTAAATGCCTCATTTCTATGTCAATTTCAGTAACCCAGGACTAAAATAACAATGCTCTCAATTAAAACAATTAAGGTTTTTGGGTTTTGGTTTGGGTTTTTGTTGTTGTTTTTGTTTTGTTTTTAATACGGGCATCATTTTCCCGAAATAGTGCCTTAAATTGCAGAAATAACAATTTCCATTTATCTTTTTACCTCAAAAGAAGATGTGTCTGTTGATTCTTTTGTAACATTATCATCCTTCAGAGACAATTCTAAATCTTCAAACTGAGAAAGAAATACTTTGTCAGAATGTATGTAAAGAATTGCTTAAATAATAGCATTAATTTATGATGCTCTAGCCTGAAACATAGCCATCACCTAAATATTCACAAATGTACCTTGCTGGAAATCAGGAAATCCCTAGCCCTAGTAGATTATCCCAGTGACATAAAACAAAGACATTATAAAGTTGCTTCCACTGAAACATATGGTATTAAGACTTAAAGGCAGAACTTGCTAACACCTTAATTGCACTTAGAGGCACTGACAGGAAAAAGCACTTGAAGAATACCTTTAGAAGCTTTTAAATGTCTTACTTTTAGGTTAAGTTTAATATTTTAAATACTTGATAAATTGACCTCATTTCTGTGACACATCTGAAAGCAATAAATGAGGACCATTACCTCTTTTTTGCAAAGGCTGAGTTTTTCAAGAATTTTGCATTTGTCTTCAACTAGTTCAGCAATTTTATTGGCAAGCTGTTTTTCCCTCCCTAAAAAAAGACAGTTATGTGTTGCAACATCCAAATACTTAAAAGGAGAAAAAAAAAGAAAACAAAAAAAAGGTCATGCTCCAAAGAAATAGCAAGAAAAATAAGCTTACCTACATAAAGTCGACTTCTAACCTGAAATAAAAATAATAAATATTGAAAATGTCCGATCAATTACTCTTGCATAGTTATCTGAAAACTAATATTTTAAGCTGTGGTTCCATGATCAGTTTAATGATGGAACTGAAAAAAGGAATATAAATACACACTGCTGTTAAAAAAGGGCAATTGCATCCTCTGCTTTTACCCCCTCCACGCCTGTGTGTTTGCCCTGTCCTTCTCCCACTCTAATTAAACAGAGAGGAGAGGGGAAAGGAGGTTAGTTTTCACTTGGATCACTTTTATAACACAACTCTGTATAGTCATCACATAACCATGACTGCCAGCACAAAGTGGTAGTGGATTTGCACAGCCAAAAGAGTAGGAAAAGGGAGAGGGCTGAATGGTCAATGTGCCAGTTCAGACTTAACTTCCTATGAGGAAAAAAACCCACATGTTATAATACACAACAGTTAGAGCCACAGTAAGGGTACTACTTGATGGGCATCCTGCCCAGATGCAACTCAGTGGGAAGCACCAAATCAGCAGCTGCCACATGGGGTCTAGTGCCCTAGAATCAAAATCTAACAAACAGCAGGGCAAAATCTGTCACAAATGGCCTGGACAAGAGATGCAGAACTTGGCTGAACCCACAAAAACTTTACAACACAGCATTCCCCTCAAGGCTGGGCCTGGATCATGTGCCTAACATACAATAGATCTCTCAGATTTGCCCTGTTTTCCTCGTCATTTAAAGCCATGGGATGGCCAAGGAGTCCAAGTAATAGAAAAAGGGGAAGAAAGTCATAAGCACACCTTATCCTGTCATCCCCCCAAAAACCCAAACCCCGTTACTTTTGAGTAAGTAACCATTAATTCTTCACAAAGCAGTCAGTGCAGTTCCAAGTATGGATGACTGAAAAAGCTATCAATAACTTCTGTAACATCTCATGCCTTAGTGACATGTGCAGGAGGAAAACAATACTAGAGTTGCCATTTGACTGATTTCAGCGGAAATGCCTCTTTCATACCACCTAGAGGGATGCTGCTAGAAAACAGAAGGAATGACCCAAATTATAGATACATTAACTTATACAAATACAGATGCCCTTCCACACAATCCGAATCACTGCTGCAGAATAAGGTGGCACTTTTCCAGATCAAAGTTGATGTCAGAACCCTAAAAAATGCAGTTGCTCTTACCTGAAAAACTAAACCGCTACGCAACCTATCTTCAAACATAAGCATGATTACTCCCAGCACCAAAATCACATTCTGTCTATTCAAGAGTATGCAAAAAACAGGGAGAAATTTAGAATACTGAATTATGGACACTGATCCCATTTAGTTAGTAGGGAGAGTATGGCAGGTAGCAGTTATTACTCAGATCCTTACTCTCAAAAATATAATCTGATTTGTGCGTTAAAAGGTTTCAGTACTGCGTTTCTCAAAGTCATCAGCTTACTGCTCACAAACAGCACACAGTAAAATTGGATCAGTGTTCCGATAAACAGAATCAAGGTCATTGTCCAAAGAGTTTTAAAGTGCCTTCCTTGATGGGAATCCATCTGGATTGCTTTTGCTTACAATTACCTTGAAGGACCTGAGCTGGTCTCACTATAGCCAGGGTAGTCACAGATATATCAATACACACGCCCTAGAGAAGATCTCTATATCCCGCAAAAATAATTTAAGGGCTGACTTCAAAAGTCTGGTGCAGAAATTAAAAAGGAAAGGGAAAAGGAAGCCTTACTACAGTGCGTTTCATTGCATTTCCTCTAACAACAACCGTCACTCAGTACATGTTCAAACACACTGTCTTGACAAAACAGACTACCTCTTAATTTCTCTTTTAGAGGGATTCTAAATTCAATCACAAGAGACTTAAACCTCTGAAGCATTACATATCTAGAACCAAATAACAATTTCAATTCAAACCATTAATGCACTCTATGTATCAGCATGTAATTTGAACACTTACTGATTGATAACTTCTATACAGGAACAAGAGAATTGTAAAGGCTCCAACAACGCCAGCACAAATCACTATTTCCCACGGGAAACCATACAGATCAGGACCAGGCCTCATATCTTCAGGCAGTGAAGCCACAGCCTGAAAAATAAAGTAAAAAGCTTCAGGTAAAGGAAAAGAGGTTAACATTTTCAACAGAAATAGACATTACACGTTGACTAAGCTTACTTTTCAGGCTTCTACATCTACTTTTTTTCCAAAACTGTGAGAAAACAGTTAACAGAAGTCTTTTATTTTTAAATTATACATTTATCAAGTGAAGGAAAAAAAGAACCAAAGTTCCAACAAGATATGATGATGACTAAATAAAGCTCTGAAAGCTTTTCCTTCTGAACGTACCAATTATTGTAAATTCTTCTTTGAGTTGCCTACCTGTTTCACTGTTAGAAGAAACAATGCTAATAAGTATTTTACGATTTACTGGTAGAAAATTTGTTTGGTAGAAAAACCTGCTCAATCAACTTCACGCTAAAATAACATACTGAACACAGTCATTGATTTACTGCATTTAAACACTTACGTACGCTCACATTTTATTTGTAAATGGATATCACTACTTTCTCAACGAAAGCTTAATGTAGCTCACATTTACCACGTGTGACCTGTGTTTAAGAATGTGTTACTGCCCAGTAAAGTCTTAAATCTCGATTTCCTTAACAAAACGGCCAGACTACCCCCATCTCCAGCCAAGAGAGGTGTGCGTGTGTGTGAAATAAGGGAACGTCCGTTTCACTGCTCTGGCTTTTCGAGACCTCTGTTATTCTCGAAGAAACGGCCAATTTCAACAAGACCCACAGGACCCGGGCGGCCCAGGGTCCCCCCAGGCCCCCTCCCGGCCGCGCAGCTCTGGGCACACCGGCAAGGCACAGCCCGGCTCTACGCCGCGCAAGGGGTTTCTGTGCCGCGGCCGTGCGCCCCGGT